ATATTAATTAAGTTATTTATTTAAATATATTATGTCAACGCTGATTGCATAATTTTAGTCAGTAATTAATGTTAATTGGTTTATTGGGCGAAACATAAATGTAAATACTTTTATCTACATAAATTTAGTCTACAAGTTAAATGTTACTAGCATATTCATCAAAATAATTTTTCGATACTGTAGCATTCTTATTATTTTCTCAAAAAGACGTAAATAAACTTGTACGTTGTACGTGTTACACCTATTCGACACGTGCACGCCGACTGTATATATCGGCAAGAATTCACTACGAAATATTACGTGCATTCAAACGTGTATTTAATCGCTCGTAGAACGCTATATAATTCACGCAGTGTTAAATATTAAAACCAATGGGGTTTCTGTGATATAATATTCAGCGAGAATTGCATATGGAATGCAGTTGTGCGTATGATTCCTGCTTAAAAAACCACGCGAACAGTTTTTTTCTCTTTTCAAACAATCGATCCTGCGACTTCGCTGTCCGGCAGTCGAATCACATATTCGAAATTAGTATTAACAGCGGCGACGTGGCGAATGTGTTAACACGCGCGCCGCCTATACGTGATGGCTAATCCTTACATGTCTTGTGTCTTTACACGGCGCGTCGAGGGACTGGCGCCGTGTATGTAACGTTTACGGCCGTGTTGCTGTACGTGTTTATGCACGCGCGCATTGCGGGTGCAAAATGCGGCAGCCATCGGCTGCAGCCGGCGCGATAAGGCCTCGGCGAATAAGTTACCTGGTGCCGACATAAATGTATCTAAAAACATGTTTAAAACTACCGTCTACGTGTATGTAAACAGACAATGGCCTACTGTTGTGTCTGATAGCGTGGATATATAGTCTTAACGACTGGCGCGCACACGCCCTGCCGTGTGTGAAGCGTCGCGGGGGCGCGACGAGCGAGTGTACTGCTCGTTGTTGCCATGCGGGGTGGGAGAGTTACTACGTGCGCGCACGTAAGCGCACATACCCATACGTACACACACACGCGCGCACACACGCACGCATCCAGACGCACATGTCCATGCATACACGCACACGCACGCGCACACACAAACACGCACGCACACACGCACCTACTCACGCACGCAGGCGCGCTCGTACACACGCACATGCCCATGCATACTCACGCGCGCACATACACGCTCGCACGCACACACGCTCACACCCACGCACACCCATCACCGCATCAGTCACGAACAGGTGAATCTATAGACGCTCGTGAAGTGCGTACGTTTCCTGCACGCTCGAGGGAAAATAATATACGTACGCGAAAAAGTGCGAAAAATGTGCGCAGTCATGCACGATCGTTAGGTACGTCGTCAGAAGACGATATCGTCATCGTCGCCGTTGCCGTCGTCATCGTCGTCGGTGCTGTCGTCATCGTTGTTGTGGTTGTTGTCGTAGTCATCGTTGTTGTGGATATAATCGTCGTCGTCGTCGTCGTCATCGTCGTCGTTGTCGTCGTCGTCGTCATCGTCGTCGTACCGTTCTCGCTGCCGTGGTTATTA